CTTGGAGCACAGCCTGAGAGCAACACCAGAGCTGTGACTCCTACCCAGCACGTTGTGCCACAACATTTACATTTTCACAATAAACTCAAGGAGACAGACAAGGCAGACGAGGTGGCCGAGTGGTTAAGGCGATGGACTGCTAATCCATTGTGCTCTGCACGCGTGGGTTCGAATCCCATCCTCGTCGGCAGGTGAAAATTTTCTCCCCTCTAGGTTCTGTCCTTGCGAGGTCCCACCTGCAGCACCGCGGTCACATCAGGTCTGGGGGCCGCAGAGCAAGAAAGACACGGAGCTGTTGGAGTGGGTCCAATGGAAGGGCCCACAAAGACGATCAGAGGGCTGGAACCATCGCTCCTACGGAAGGAAGGAAGCCTGAGGGATCTGGGCTTGTTCAGTCTGGAGAAGGCTCCTGGTGACTTCACTGCGGCCTTCAGGTGCCTTGAAGGAAGTTGTGAGTAGGAGAGCAGAAGGGGAATTCTTACGTGTTCTGGAAGAGGGGAACAGCTTCAAACTAAGAGGGGAGATTCAGGTTAAGTGTTAGGAGTAAATTCTTTACAGGGCAGCGAGGCGCTGGCACAGGCTGCCCAGAGCAACTGGGGATGCCCCATATTTGGAGGATTTCAAGCCAGGCTGGATGGGGCCCTGGGCAGCCTGAGCTGGTGAGGTGTTGCCAGCCCATGGCAGAGGGAAGGAAACTTAAAGCCCATTCAATTCCAACTCCAACCAAACCTTTCTATGACTCTGTGACTGCAAACACCTCTACTGAAAAGCCCCTCAAGGGCCCCGCAATGCCTCAGGATGCCAGCCAGCTTTGGAGGTTTTACATTTTAGTGGCATGAGGCAGATTTCAAAACAAGCTCCTAAATATGAATCCCCATCAACTGCTCAGCAAATGGGAGCCCAAGAAAACAGCCTGTCAGCACCTCTGGCTCTGCAGAACCCAGCAATGTAGTACAAGGGATTCAGTAACCAAGATGTCATCCTTGCTTTGCTGGTTCTAGCCATAATGCATGTGCTAGTATTTCACTGTTTCTTCCTGAGGACAATCTGAAGCAGAATAGTGAGTCTGCAAGCAGGCAGCACTTACAGGCATGGCAAGTCAGGAACTGCAAACAGTTATTCATCACAAAAGCAAAGATCACTTTTAAGGAAGAACTATATCCTGAAAGTAACTACTGTGACAGTTTAGTCAGTGGAAAGCACTGAGCAACATCTTGAAACAATAAACAAAGGACCATTCATCACAAACTAGTAGGATCATTCCAGACCTTGGAGAAAAAAAAAAAAAAAAAAAAAAAAAAAAAAAAAAAAAAAAAAAAAAAGGAAAGACCACCAAAACTACGATTTTGCATAACCCAGTGACTGAGGTCTGCGATTAATCAGCTTTGCTCAGGCTGGCTCTCACTGCTGCATTTCAAGTCAGTGCTCTCCAAACTGCAGCGCCAGGGTCAGCAGCAGCAGGGTCTGTGAGCAGCACTCACCCCTGCTATATCTTCACTTGAGGTCCCTTCCAACTCAAACCATTCTCTATGATCCTATGAAATCCTTCCAACAAGGACAAGGAAGGGTAAGATCAAAGCAAAATTTCAACATCAGTATCACCAGTACATTCTCCAAGCAGCATCCTGGAAGAATAAGTGAATTCAAATATTAAGTCGTAAATATTTTTGAAGTGCCAGATAGGCTTTTGGCACCCAAGATAAGAAATTTCTAAAAGCACTTGCATTTACTACATCCACCCTCAAAAATCCCATTTGAAAACCAAAGCTAGTTAAAGCCCCAGTTCCAGAGAACTGGGGGTAAATTTTAGAAGCAGGAAACCATCAAGCCATCAAGAGACATTATCTGTAGATTAAATCATCTTCCTTTGCTGGGCTTCCACAAAGTCAACTCAGAGAACCATAAAGAAAGTTAAGATTTCAGAAGAAAAACTACATTGTCAAATTTATTTTACAGCTTGTAGCTTTTTTTTTTTTTTTTTTTTTTTTCTTTAACCAATAAATAGTTGCAATTCCTTTATTTTCTGCCAGCTGGAGATAGACTTGAAAACTGCTGCAAAGCTGTAGTATCAGTGTTTGTCTGTGCTGGGCACCAAAAAATTCCTCTCCAGTGAGTGCAAGGGGTTACTCATGGCTGTAACATCCCTGCAATGTGCCAGGGCTGCTTTTTCACTCTCATGTAACCACAGTAATACCGACTTAGCACTGCTGTGACTTTTACAATGCTGTTACAATCTCCAAATCAGCTATGCATGTTTGAATCATACAAACACTTGTACGCCCAGTGACACCACTTTCACAATCAGCTGAAACCTTTTTTTAATTAATGATCACAGATTCAGAAAGGTTGGAAAAGACCATGAAGATCATCCTGTCCAACTGTACACTCAACACCACAATCCTAATAAACCATGTCCCTACATACCACACCTCCATGTTTCCTGAAAACCTCCAGAGACGGTGATTCCAACTCCTCCCTGGACATCCTGTTCCAATGCCTCACCACTCCGTCTGACAATAAACTTTTCCTAATATCCAACCTGAAATAAAACGCATTTTTCTAATATCTAACTTAATACCATGCATCTATCCACAGACCTACAGGTAGCATGGATCCAGAGCAATGCAACACAGAGTAAGCAGCAAGGCCAAGTGAGATGCATTGAGATGCAGCTGCATCCCAGGTTTGCCAGTCCATGTCACCTGCATGGTGCCAGGCTCCCAGGTGTGAAGGGTCTCTGAGCTGAGACAGGATGGGCAGGACTAAGTTTGCAACGGGCAAAGCAGTACAGAAAGTTTGGATGTATCTACTGCAGCTCGTCTGCAATCCTAGTGGCAATGAAGAACCATGCAATGTACAGCACTGGTGCTGCTCTAAATTACCCAGTGATGGACAGGTTTTGTTCCATCCCTGAACAAACATTTGCAGAAGCACCAAAGGAACTGCATCACAAGAGCAAAGCAACCAAGAGCCTGTTTTATGGGGCACAAGTACTCCAGAATTGAAGCCTACACCCTACCTTGTACTGAAGACAAAGGAACCAGTATACAAGCAGTGATCACACTGACTTTGCTCTTTAAACAAAGAGGAATCCCAGGGAACTCCCTCACGTCAGATTACAGAGATGCTGTTCCTGAAAGGCTGAGCAATAAGGCTGGGAGGAGACCAATAAATACATCTTGTACATGCACTCTAGGTCTTCTGCAGGTGTTCGTGGCTCTAATTAGGACTTTTTGGCTCCAAGCTCCTGCTTATGTACAAAAGATAAAGCTCATGGTGTTGTAGCACACTGCTGACAAAGGAGCTTTTTAGTTATCAACCATGTTTGCTTAAATAGTAGTTAGAAAGCCCATACTTCCAGTGATCTTGCTTCGGTGCCTTAGAAGTTGTTAGGAGGTGGTTAATAAAACACTGGGAATTTCCACTTGCTTGGAAAATTGCATTCTGTGTTCACAAGGGATAGAAACGGGCTAAACTACTTTCCTGATCAACCCATGAAGGGCCTTGCCTCGAAAGTTGCCTACATACTGCTGTACACAATGTTATCACCCTACAAGGGCAGAATGAAACAAACAAAAAAAATTGAGTGACTTGACCAGAGGCACAGATGAGGTTACTGGAGGAGCCAGCTACAGGTAATAGATTTCCTAATTCCCTTTCTTCTCTGTCTCAGCCACCAGAGAATGCAGCCTTCAGAAGTTCAGAAGATGTGCTTCACCACGCAAAAGAAATACAATAACTTTTCAGCGTATTTTCTACACCATTTGAGCTGGATTGCAACACACCAAGTGAGCAGGTCAAGTTAAACACTGGATATTCCAGCCATGAGCATGTCTCTGCCCCAAACCCCACAGGCTGCTGGCTCTACACAGAGCCCTCCATTGACCACCAAGGCTAAGCAATACACACAAACTCCATAGCCCTGGTACGATGCTTTCACTCCCCACAGTTAAAACCACAGTCTCCGTTAGAAGCACAGCAAGTACTCAATTTTCCTGCTAGTCAAAGCAAAGAACCTTTTAATTCTCAGTCTATCTTCTCAATCTGGCTTAAGTATCACATCAAATTCAAGAGACAGTCAACTGATTTTGTTCCCCTGGCTCCATTTCCTTCCTTTAATCTGATGTAAAATTGTGCTTACAGAGCAATAAGATGAAACTTTTAATGCCTCACACATGCTGATGGGAATGCAGAATAGCATTTTCAGCAATTTCCCCTTAGCAGTTCTTTTTTGTATAGTCAAAATAAATAAATCTGGAATCTAGATTCAAAGAGGTAACTTTTTTCTCCATTCCCTATTCTTTTTTTTTTTTTTTTTTTTTTTTAAGAAAAGCATTCTGTTCATCAGCACACGAGTAGATTCATCCCCCACCACTTCCAGAGCAACTGTCAAAACTGGGATTTTCACAGCAAACTGACACCCCAAAGACCAACAGAACAATCCAGTTCTGGTGTTGAAAAGAAAAAGGCTCAGTCACCTTTATAAAAACATCGAAGTCATTGTAAATCTTTATAAAAATGTAAATTTGTAATTATCATTGCAATTGCTGAATTATCCATGTCTACATTGAATACGAGTAATTTTCAAGTTAAAATTTAAAGCCATCTCCTTTTTTTATGTCATCCTCTAAATGATGCCATTCTTCAACAGAAGCACTGTTAAATTAAGATGAGAAAAAATGGATTGAATACTCATATTATCTCCTCTGAAATTACATGGCAAAGCCTGATAAGCAGGTTCACACACAGCCGGTGTCTGCGTGGTGCTGTAAGTACATCAGTAATTGCTGAGTGGCCAGGGGCAGTGCAGGAGGAATTACGAGGTGTGGATGTGAGCATCTCCACCCCTTTTCTAATGAGGAAAAGCCATCTTCAGAGTATGATGCTAAAGAGATGGAAAGGCCTTACCTTTAGCAGAGGCTAGTAAGGAAACAGAATGATTCAGTTCCTAAACATCAGGAAAAGAAATTGGGTGAAGAATGAGGAAACCATCTACATACCCAGACATGGCCACTGCTGCACTGCAAAAGCTCAGAGAAAGGGAAAAAATATTCTTCTGCCTTCTGCAATAATTTCTCTGTTCCGAGCAACTGAAAGGGGAGGTATTCCAGTAAGGATGGCAAGCGACTGATTTGCTGTAATCCTCAGAGCAGAGATGCCTCCTTCCAACACTCAGTGACCCAGGAAAGATAGGGAGAATTTCCAGATGGTTTTGTGGGTGGCTGACGTTCTCCAGAGGATTTTGCAGGTCCATAAATCCCATAATCCTAAAAATCCTTGGAAGCTATGGAAAGGATCAATCTGAGAGCTCCTCCCAGCATTACTCCAGAGTGGTTGAAGGCACAGGGCTGAGACCTTTGGAGAGAGGAAAAGGACAGCCATTATATGAGAGCAACCACAAGGAAGTAGAAAGCACAGGCTCTTCCCACCTATCTTATTCCCATGCAAACTCTTTCGATTTACTTTTGCACAGGACGAAGTTTTTAGGTTTGTTTGATTTTTTTTTCACTTTTCCCCTTTTTTCATTTGTTTCCCTATTAGCCTGGTTTATTTAAACACATTGAGCATAGGCTCCATGGGACCACCATCTCCAGAGGCTCACAGGTCCCAAGTGATGTGAAACAAAGAGGACTATAAAACAACAACCAAAACAAAGGTCACCTAACCAACACATCCTTCCAAAACCCTTTTGACTGGGGAAAGGAGACAGTTTTCTTTCTCTTTTTTTACTCTAATTACATGTTTTCTCCAACAGGGAAGAGAAGGCAGTAAAAGGCTGCTTGGAAGCAGCTGAGCGGGACTTTCTGCCTTCCTAATTTCAGAGAGAAATGACCATCTAAAGCAACTCTGGGTTGAAGTGGAGGAAACAGCCCCACGTATCAGCTGGATACAAACCCTAACACCTTGGAAGCACTCAGCTCTGCAGTAAAACAACTGTTTGCACTTCCTAACAAGTCAAGTACACCTCCATGTTCAAATGAAATAAAAACCTCTCAGCAAAGTGGCTTCAAATGCCCAGGGAATTAGTCATAAAGATTCTAGTTATTCAATGTGCATAAAGCCATCAAAATTTGTTTTGTTTTGTTTTTCCTTTTAAAACCTGATATTACTAACAGTGCTGGGAATCAAGTTGCTGGGACTTTTGTTTGCGATTTTAAGATAAGAAAGCTATCACACAAACTCAGTCAATTGCCAGGCCCGGAAATAATGCTTTGCAAGCAGTGAAAGGAAACTCAAATAACTCCCTGCCCAACATTGCTTTCTAGTTCATCTGTCATAAAAACAGCAGAGAGCAGCTCAGAGCCAAAAGATTTCTTTTTGCTTTGTTTTAGCTCTAGCAGCACAGAAAGGTGATATCACTGTGTATTGCAACCAAGCAAATGAGTAATGAAAGTGCAAGCACATACATTAAATAGCACGGGCTTAAATAAAAGGTGTTATAATCATTTGTTTTGTTTTGCTAATTGTGTCAATGAAGTCCTATCCTCAAACAGATGAAACGCAATCAGAAATAAAAAATAGAAGGAAAAACCAAGTGAATAACTCAATGTTCAGAATACTTTTCTTTTTTTTCCCTGTTTAAAACTTTGGAGAAACCCATGCTTATTATAAACAGCATTCCACTCGCATCTATTTACATCACATTCAGTATGCAACCTGCCTTTAATCAAACCTTCTTCCTCACTAAGGAAGACAACAGAATCACCTTCTCTGCTTTGTAAAGACACAGGCTTAACATAGCCCCAAGCTAAGCTGAGTCACAGTTGCCACCAGTAGGACTGATGACACTGTAACTCACTGAAATCTGGTGTCTTCCCAGTGTATTTAGGCTGCTGACTACAAAATATGTCACTCAAATCAGTGCAAAGCAATTTTAAGTCTTCCCTCAAGTCTTCTAGTTCTTGAAACCAGAAACCTGCATGGTCTCCTTGCTTCTTTGGTATTCCAGAGATGGGTAGGGCTAACAAAATAGCCCCATATCATGTCCCACCTAAATGACACAAACATTCAGAGCCTACCAAAACTGTGAGCTGATAAAAAAATCTTAGGAAAGGATGTGATTGCCCCAAAATAACTCCCATCCTATTCATCATACAGCAAATCTCAGTCACTCTGATGATTGCATGACACTTAAAATGCCTGTAAAACGTATTTCTCCACTAAAAGAACATTTGCCTGAAACCCTTGAGCTGTTTTTTCTCTAAACTAATTATTTACAAAATGTGTGCATGCCAACTGATAAAAATCCATCACCAGTCACCACTGTGCCAGGAGGAGCAGGGCTTCTGTTCTAGCTCACTGTACACACTTTCACCACGAGATGAGTCAAAGAAACAAAAGGAAGAAAATACAAAAATTATGCTTTTTCTGCTCTTCCTCTTGGCATTATTTGCCTCCAAAGCCAGCTGGGACCCTGCCTGAAGCAGGGGTACAACTAGATGATTTCAAGTGGTCCCTTCGAACTTCAACGTGCATTGAAGGGTTGTCAATCAATTCTGTGGTTCTGGGTAGCAGCAGGCCCTGAGGCTAAGGAGCAGCTACGGGCTGGAAGATCGTTTGCTCCATTATGCCCACATAAATGTCCACCTCTTTCTAGATAGGCTTTAAGAGTTGGAAGAACTGATAAACCAGTGATACATGTTCATTTTAAGCATATTCTTTTGTGGTATGGCAGACACGGCACTGATGTGCTCAACACCTTCCCTTCTAGGCTGTGAGGACAGGATACAGGATGTCCCAGCATGGGATGCAGATGACATTCAAGTTCTTGCGGGAAAAACCCGAAAAGTCAACTTTTTGGTTAATTTCACTTTGCCCTTAAAATCCTGCACGCATCTGCCCTGCAGACCTCAACTCTAGCTCCAGTGCTTTGCATTCCAGGCTTACAGCAGCCTTCTGCTTCCCTCACAAATTAGACGTCTAAGCAGTGACAAACACCTACAGGTCTTGCCCAAAATAACATAGAGAAAGTCATGCAGCAGTACATCTACACTGCAAGTGACAGTCCAGCATCTGAGAAACACATTCCTTCTTCTCATCCCTCAATGAATAACAACTCCGGCACTTGATCAGCAGGGCACAGTTCAGCCACCCACACTGGGCAAGCCTGATTCCAAATAAACACAGCATAGGCTGCAAAATACAGCAGCACTGAGAGCCCACAGCTCCTTCTCAAGGGCAGCAAGACCAAGTCATACGAGCTGAAGGAAAACAGCAGCAAGCAGAGCACTGCAGAGTACCCCAGAGAGCCTCAGATGATTAATAGCCAAATGAAAAAAAAGAAAAAAAAAAGACTTGCTGCTAATTAAGAAATACAGGGGAAAAGAGAAACGAATAAGGACTTCCACCTGTTAAATATTTACCATTAAAGGGTCCCAAGTGCAATGTCTGTTTTAAAAAAACAAAGGGTGTTTTTTGTGCCTGTGTTTTTGGCTTAAGGAAAAGACTGTTTTTCCACTTCAGCTTGTTCATTACAACCCAACCATGTGAGCTAAGTGCAGTGAGGGACCTGTAAAACCTCAATATCTGCACCAGATTACTACAGCAGGAACTTTATTATGGGCACAAGAGCAAGCAGGGCTTTTTGTCTCTGCTGTTCCTGTCCCACATCCAATGTGCTCCAAACTCACCCCTCCAAAACACAGCAAAAGTCCCAAAATGGCCCCTCTTTATTTTCCTATGCAGAAACAATTTTTATGCCCAGTTAAGAAACAAAAGAAAAAAAAAGTCTTTTATATTTTTCTGCAAATTCTCCTTCTCTTTTAAGCAAAAGGTTGCAGGTATATTTACTGAAAGGCAGCAGTGAACCACCGCAGGACACAGTCTGTCCTCTCTCTTGCCTGGGCCACTGCTGGGGTCAAGCTCGTGTGTTGGCCAAACCTCCCAGGCAGCAGATCCAATTCAGCACAGTGCATAACTCAGCCACCATGGGGAATGGATTTCTCTAGGTGTGGTGAGCTCAGTGACAGAAGGAAAGGATCAAGCTGGACTATCCTTGCCCTTGCATCGGCACCCAGCTGGTTAACTAATTCAACCCATCTCTGAAATCTCTCCCCAGCTGCTACCACCCTGCTCTCAAACACAGAATTTTAGAAGAGGTATAGACTGAACCCAGGAAATGGAGAGATTCCAGGTCAACAGGGCTTGTGTTTTGCATCAGCAAGGCAGTGTATGGTCTGAACTCATTTACTTTAAGGAGTCACGGAAGGACACCAGTGTTTGTCTGAACATCATATTTACATCCTTATAAAAGAACAATTGAGAAAATCCTATAAACAAAATACTTCAAATATTCTGTTGTTTGTTTGTTTTCCAAAAAAAATAAAGGCCGCTGCTCCCTTTCACTCTCACTCAGAAGCACCACATTCTTAGAGTGACCTGTCTGCTTTTGAAGGGTTCACAGGTTTGACCGACTGCCACATCCAGGCAACCTGTAGAGGGAGGGCTTTGGCTCCTGCAACAGAAAATGCAGCTATGGTGATTAATATGGGCGTGATTAATATGGGAAGTGCACCTCACAGAGGCTCCACCAGAACACCCAACTAGCAACACAGACCAGGAGATGACCCCAAGAGTCAGTCAACTTGCCTGTTGCATCAGTCTGAGCTATCCTTGTGTGGATTGCCAAAGCCACCACTTGCATTACACAGTATTGTAGGAAAACGATGTGAAAACCACAACCATTTATCATGTTCCATCCTACCACTCTTTGCTCCAAAAAGTAAATTCTGTAGATGCCAACCAAAACAGGTTCAAAGGAGAACAACAAAAGCAGGAGTATCCTCCAGTGAGTGGGAACAACCGTGTATGCTTTGTTCAATGACAGGGCACTGGATGAAACAAAAAACAGAGTTCTAAGGACTGCTGATTCTTGTGAGACTTCTCAAGGAAGTGCACTTTTTACACCTATATGTTCCATGTTCGGTATTATTACATTAACTCTTCCCCATAACCATTCAGGATTCCTCAAACATGTCCTACATGTCCATACTTGATGGCTGGGTCTATATCTTGACCCAGCTCTAACTAGTGACTACCACGCATCATTTTTCAAAGCTTAATGGTTCAAAAGCACGATTTTCCTTGGTGCAAGCCAGACCTCCAGAAGTCCTTGTCAGCACAGTTCTGTGAGCAAAGTCCTTCTCCAAGAAGACCCTGGGCTGAGGAAAACCAGGAGCTATGAATGCCATGGCTGCCTTCAGCTGTATCTTACAGGAGGGACCGTCACCCGTTGCTTACATTGCTACAGAAGTGCCACATGACAAGCGTAACATTACTGAGTCAGTGTTTATCTTGGTAACCCCACAACTGAGATGGGAATTCATTATTTCTGAAAGGCCTCGGTGAGTGCGCTC